TATTCCCAAGCTGTAAGCTGGAAACTTCAATCTTTCCCACTAAGTATATTATCTTTGGCTTTTTTAGGGATTTGTTTATCAGGTTAAAGAAGTACTTCTATTCTTACTATGTTGAATGTTTTTATCTTGAACATATGTTGAATATTATAAAAATATTTTTCTGCATTTAATGAGATRGTCATGTGTAAATCTTATTCACTTAATATGGTTAACTACATTATAATTTTCAAAGATTAAACCAAGCTTGCATTACTTAAATAAACTCTACTTGGCCATATGTATGATGCATATTTTTGTATATTAATGGGTTCAATCTGATAATATTTTATTAAGAATTTCTGAATCTATGTTCATGAAGAATATTTGGCCTCTAAATTCTTCTCTTGCAAATCTTTGTTAGATTTTGGCATCCAGGTTACACTGGTCTCACTAGTTTTAGAAGCACTCACTTTTCTATTTTCTGAAAAAGTTTGTGTATGATTGGTGTGAGTTTTACATAATATATGATAGAAATTACAGATGAAATTATGGAGGACTTGAGTGCCCTTTGTAGAAAAAAATTACAAATTATAGGTCTTTAATAGATCCATGGCTATTCCAATTTCCCACTTCTTGAGTTACTCTTGAGAAGTTGTGCTGTGTTTCATTTAGTTGTTAATTGGCATAATTTGTTTTTAACATTTTCAAATTTTTCCACTAATATCCATAGGCTATGCAATGATATTCCTTCTCTTACTTGTGATGATGGTAGTGTACAGATCTCTGTTCCTGATTGATCCTGTTAGGGTTTATCAATTTTATTCTTCAAGGAATGAATTTTGAACTTTGCTAATATTTCTGTTTCTATATTGTAAATTATTTCTGCACTGATAATTTACTTTTTCTGTTTGTTTTGGGCTTAACTTACTCTTCTGTCTGTAGCTATTTAAGTGGAAATTTACATCACAACTATCATTCATTAAATATCATATACATACTTCAAAATATCATACTGATTCCCATAAGTTTGTAGAACTATTATGCTAATTAAAAAATGTTTAAGCCTTCCTTCTCTTCTTCTCATCTAATATAGYCATTTAAAGTTATAAATTTCCCTCTAACCATTGCCTTTGCTGTATCCCATAAATTTTAAAATGTTGCATTTTCACTAACATTCAAATCAAAATATTTCCTTATTCCTTTAGGATTTCTTTTTTCATGGGTTACTTAGGCCATGAGTTACTTAGGACTTTGTTAATTAATTTCCAAATATTTGGAAATTTTCTAAATATTTTGATTATTTTTTTATTTTGTTCTGCCATGGCTATAGAATATATTCTGCAATATGAAAATCTTTGGAAATTTACTGAGAATTGTTTTATTGTCTAGTACATATCTACCTGAATAAACATTCCACATGTACTTGAAAAAAAAATGTTTACCCCAGTTACYGATGTTTTTAGTCAATTAGCTCAAGTTAGTTAATAGTATGCTCAGATCTTTAGACCCAAACTAAATATCTACTTCTTCTATTAATTACTGAATGAATGGTGATAACATCTCCAACTACTTTTTCCATCAGTTCTGTCTATTCTGACTACATAAATTTTGAATTTTTGTTTTTAGATGAATATATATTTATGGTTGTTATGTTTTCCTAGTGAATTATTCCTTTTGTGATTTATAAATGTCCATCTTTCAGCTCCTTGTTACTTTATGAAATTTATATATCCACACAAGCTTTCTTGTACTATTTGCCTGGTATATCACTTTACGTACACTGATATTCAATTTATGTCTTTAAAATGCAACTCCTATAGACAGAATATACTTGTGTGTTCCTATGGATCTAATCTGATGATCTCTGACCTGCAATTGGAACATTTTACATATAATGTTATTTAGTATAACATAATTATGGGTATGTGTTTGCATCTACAGTCTTACTATTTGTTTCCATTTGTCCCTTCTGTTTCTTGGTTGTGCTCTTTCACTGGTATTTTATTTCTATTTATTCTATTGTTTTCTTTGCTATTTTTAAATTAATTTTTAGTTTTCTTCCAGAGCTAACAATGCATCCTTAGCTTATCAGAATCTATCTAGAATCAAATTTTTATTACTTCAGGCTGTGGATATAGGTCAGTGGTAGAGGACTTGCCTAGCATGTGCAAGGTCCTGGGTTCAATCCCCAGTACCACAGGGGGAAAATTTGTACTATTTCACACTTGACACCACTTTCTTCTTCCCACTTGTTACTTTACACTGGGCATATCCCTCCTGACACTGATACTACACTTCACAAATCTAATAACTGTCATGCCCATTTGGTGAATTTCTCATTTCAGGTATTTTTCATTATTTTAATAATAAAATCAAACTTATTTGCAGCAGTTTTATACACTCTTTGGGGAAGGCAGGGACTTCCCATACATCATAGCATCTCTTAGCAAATCATCACACACTGCAGGAAAATCATAAAACAACTCTAAAACATGATTAGCACATGTTTATATGTTACTCTTAGAATATTTATGTGTACTTCTGATAGTTTTTTATTGATTACCACCCACTATTTTGCTTGTCTAGTAACCATCTACTGGATATTGTTAGTGATAGAGACTGGATTCTATTATCTTCCTTCCGAAGACTGTTGATTCTTGTTCTAGTAGGCATCTCACTTACTGGCTAGCCATCTTCAAATTGGCTTAAGTTTGATTTTATGTTTTCTTGTGGAGAACATGTAGAACCCCAACATGTTTGCCATGTACCTATAACTTGGCAAGAGTCAACTTCCAAAATATGTCACCTCTGCGGTCTTGTCATGGCTTAGTGTTAGGGTTTGTTGCAGTGGGTATAGAGCAACGGTGTTGTTACAGATGACTTTCTCCCCAGGTGACATCTGGCAATATGTTAAGACATTTGGGGTTGCACAACTAGGGTGGAGGGCATTACTAGCATTCAGTGGGCAGAGGCCTAGAATGCAGGCCAAAATCCTACAACACACAGCACAGCTCCACACAAGGAATTATCAGGCCCTAAGTATCAATGCTGTCGAGATTAAAAACTCTAGAAAACTGTACTCTAAGGCACATTCCTTACTTCTACCAGGGGGAATTAATGAGGTTTTGAAGCCCTCTACTCTGCCTGAAATGGACCTCCAATGACCTTCAGCATTATATGGTGCCTAATATCTCTAGTATGTGCTCTCTGGTAAGCATCACATAGTCTTGTTCTGTAGATGCAATTTCTTGATGGGAGGGGTAACATTACAGGGGAACAAGTGAAATAATGAGATTTGTGGCTATTTTTGCAATTTAGCCACTTCTTTTAGTACTAATAATTCTTGGCACCTCGCATTTTCTTATTGCAAACATTTTTTATGCACTAAACTTAGTACAGAATCTCTGAAAATGTGTCCTTTATTATGATGTACATTTATTTTATGGAATGTTATTGAATCTCAAAATACAGTTTAATATGGTAGAAAAAGTGATGCTTATAATGCCAACCATATGCCTAAAAATTTACTTATTTGATTAGGAATTATACATGTAAATATGAATATTACTGCTACATAACACTTTGCATGTTTATCCCTACGACTGGCTTCTTATATTGAGGGAGTTTAATGACAGCATATTGTGATCAAGAACCCAAGATATAAGAGTGTTCAAAGTAAAAGTTTGAAGACAAAAAAAAAACTTATAATTTTCCCAAAAGAGTTTGATAAAGTACTGTGAATGAAATACACCACCCACTTGAATCAAACAATGTACCAAGGCCCATTATAGGCACATTTTATCTCAAGCTCTCCATGGTGTTGTTTCTCTACCTGGAGGCCTGCATCAGCTCACCTGTCAATCCTTCCTCCCTGCTAAAACAAAAATCCACACCTCAATTCAGATGCCAGTGATAGGAATATTGCTTTCATCAATGCACCACCTTCCCAACCCATGAAATAGTTCTCTCCCTCTCACTTCACTTTACTAATTAAAACACGATTTAAAAAAAAAAAAAAACTATTATGCTTACACCAGAAATGACATTTTCTCACTTGGTTTGGAATCTACCACCCTACCTRGTAAAACACAACTGTACTTGAATATTAAAAAAGTGAGACATTCTGGAATAAGTAGAAATAACAAAATAAATGGATCAATATTTAATAACAAAAAGGCTATGTCTAAATACTGACTTATTTATTGTATTCATTTGATTTTGTCTTTTAATATAGTACTTTCTTTTCTGAGCAGACTATCATATATTCACTTGACTTTTGTGGATATTAAGTATTCTTGCCTTTTGTTTTTGTTTGTAAACTCAGAAAAGACAAGCTTACACATACACTTAACTTTGCTTAGTTCAGTGTAAAAGAAAAAAAACAGTATTCAATTTCTATTTGATGAGAATAAGCAAAACTTAGCAAGGCTAGAAATATAGATGGTAATCTTTATAGTCATAATCCTTACTTCATGAAAGAAAAAATCTATCAGAAGTACATATAAATATTCTAAGAGTAACATATAAAACCTACTAAAAATGTAACAAAATTCTTTTGCAAAGGTAAATATTTGTTTAGTGTTCACCATGTGCATGCTCACACTGATTGCAAAAGAGTTACTTTAATAACCAGTATCAATATGTTATTCTTTAGGCTGCCATTCATTTTTAAAAATATTTTAAAATATCTTTTAGTTGTTGATGGACCTTTATTTATTTGTATGTGGTGCTGAGACTCGAACCCAGTGCCTCACATATGCTAGACAAGCACTCTTCCACTAAGCTACAACCCCAGTCCAAGTTTGCCATTCATTTTCACCATAAAATTTCACCTATTTCAAAGAACTGGGTAATTTTTATGTTTTAAGTATGACATCCTACAACAAAAATCTTCAATACTGAAATTATTTTACCTTTTCTAATTGCATGATGCTGTGATTTWAAATTAAATAAATAAATAAATACAATTCCCAAAAAGGTTACAAAATGAGTACTTTGTCTTAAGGCTCATATTTGTTTTCCAATTACTTTTATTGATCTTATAGGCAGAATAGCATCTTGATCTCTTTATTATATTCAACAACACCAAAGATTTAGAATTCTGGTGTCAACAACAATAATTACTAAAAATCCAGCAAGCAATTTACAAGTATTTGATATTCAAAAGGCGTGTAATTGTGATAACAATAAAATAGTCTGTGTTTTAAGACATAAATAGCCAAATAACTTTAGTACCTCAGGCATTGTCTACTAATATTTATACAAATTTTGTAAAGTGAGAAGCACAGTGGCTATTAACCAATGATTATGAAAAATATGTAAAAGTGCCTATTTACCTAATATGTTCATCAACTTGACATTATGTGCTATTATCACTTACAAAGCATTAGAAATCAATATTAGACTTGCCTCAAGCTTTTTTGCAGATGAATAATCTTGATGAAGATGCCCTCATTTCAAAAACTAAGGTCATTAGTGTTTTATCTTCCCTTGAAACATTTCAGAAGGCTGAAACTAGAGAACTCCTGATCTTAGACCACTGGATGAACAGTGACATCTAGTGGTCATTACATAGCTAGACAAATGTTTTTAAACAGATCCATGAAACAAGTGAGAATACTAGATGTCTCACCTTTAATATTGACAYATGTATCTCTACTGTATAAGAAAACTACAAACACTTCCTAGTAGATTCCTATGATTCAGTAATATATACTAAAAGAAAAGCCCCGCTTCCAATATTTATTCTTAATCAACAACCCTTTCACAGGAAAATGTCGGTTRCAGATTTTTATTAAACTCCATTTTTATGTATGTCTCAATTCTCATTTCTAACAGAGTGACACACAGGAACTACTGAATAATCAATTCTATGGCTCTTWTGAACACAATGATTAGAATATCCCAGCAATAGACAGATTCAGACATCCCATGTGACATCACGGATGTGAAAAATTAAGACGTTACACAAGCCGCATGTGCACTGTTGTTGGGCTGAGTTCACTCTGGAGGTATTATTGACTTTTTGTAAACTGAAAATACCCAGTTTGTCAAGTTTTTCYAATACAACTAGATCATGGAATGGAATATAAGGTCAAAATGGAATTACAGAAGAGCTTTACCATCAAAAGCTCACTGCTCCCCAGGTATGTCTACTTCCTACTCATGAAAGACAGTACATTCTCTGGCTACTTGCCCAGCCCCGCTGAGACAGTCCATACAAGCTTTTGTTATCACTTATGAGTAACATAATGATGAACCTTAGCTCATCATCTCTGCACAAGCTACCCACCAGGCACCCAAAACTGCTCCCAAGGCATTGATGGCCAGCTCCAGAGAAACTACCTTCCTGGACATATCAATGCTGCAGGTTCTATGGTTGTTCTTGGGACACACTGGGACTGTCTCTTCTAAATGGACTAAGGTATCCCCCAAAGTGACTGGATATACATGGCTGAACACAGGTGGGTATCACTCACTATATATTTCATGTCCCCTAAATCAACTACCAAGGATTAAGGCTTTACATTTCTCTTTCTCTTCAATTTCTTAAGGCTTTGTCAATGATCATAAAGAGATAAAAGACCTAAACAACAGTCTGAATGTTAATGCACCAGCCTTCCCAAATGAAGAATGAGCATATCTGGCACTCATCAAAATGTCCACTCCCCATCTGCATGCCATGCTACTGATTACCTGGGACATTCATCTACATATCATTTATGTGCATAAAGATGGCCCAAGAGGCCAAGACCCTAGGTCTGGATACAATGGTCTACAGGAGTAATATCTCACAGGTGCCACGGAATTGGGGATCATAGGGAATCATTTTAACATCACTTAAAGACATGTAAAGGCTAGACAGACATGTTCCAATGTATATAAACATGTTCATGTATATAAATAATCACTTAATCTTATTAAATCAATAAGCGTGTTCCTAAGTATTCAAGRTCAAATGAGGTGCCATGTATGTAAAGTCTGGGGTTCTCTCCAACCTACAACACCCACCAACTTCCCAGTTTTCTCTTCTCAAGAGTTCTTAATTACAAGAATGTATGTGTGGGTGGTGGCCACAAAGTTAAATGTGATGTTTACCAAGGAGACAGGCAGCTGCAAGTGACACTGGAAGCAACCGGAGATTAGAATCAACTGCTGTACACTATGCAGATTTCATTCTCCTGTTTTTCCTTCTCCTTTGCCTCACTAATTTCTGCCTGAAGCTAGTAGGACAGGATGAAGCAGTGCTGTACTCTGTTGCTGTCTGAACCCATGTGTTGGTACAGAATTTCCCCAGTTTCTCCTGTAACAAGGATGACTTCTGAGTTCCAGGAGAAGATACTCTTAACAACTCAACACAGTATATTCAGAGAATCTCAGATTAAAAGCTATGTGTGGTCGTGGGCTATTATTACTGTCTGTTCATAATAACCTTCTCCCAAAAAGAGAATTCAAAACTTGAATGGCATTTTGGTTTTAAGGTCTTTGTCCTACCTGTCAGCATTTGACGTATCTTAACCTTGCACTTGTCTTAAGAATGAATTAGCTTATGTTTGCAAATAAGTCATCTCAATTACCAACCTACAAAAACATTTTCATAACCTCCTCTCCCCACATAAACTACTCAAAGAGTAAAGTAAATTATGCTTTTCACTAATTGCCCAGGACAATTCCTCACTGGGTCTGTAAGAGTAGACAAGGGTCTAGCTGAATGGTTGGATGAGCTGCCACCTCCATATCCCAACAAACCTAGARATAATTTGGTCTGGGTCTAAGCGCTAATATCATGCTTCCAAGTCTCTTTCTGAAAAGCATAAAAGCAAAATATCCCACTCCTGCAAGCAAACCAACCACAAGGGTGGTGCCAAGAACTTTTGGGGCCCTTTTCTTGGCCACCCGGAATGCTGTTGGCAGCACTGCAGAGATTAATATATTGTTGACATGTCCCAAAACCTTGTTAAATGTTTTTCTCTTCAAGACACGCTCGTAATAGGTTTCCAAGTTCGGTCGCTTTCCATTTCCCCAATTCCTCCTTGCAAAACCCAGGAACTTCAATCGATGCAGTGTGACAGCAAGAGAGACATCTGCCAGGGTAAAGGCTTCTCCGCAGAGCCAAGGCTGGTGGCCCTCTTCTAATCAGAGAAAAGGACATGGAGAATTAGAGGCAAGCACTGTATCAACAGACTCTACATGGTACCTGTAGTCTCAGCCTTAAGGACAAATGTAAGTGGAGCAAAAAATGAAGGCTATGGGGCTGGGGTCGTGGCTCAGAGGAAGAGTGCTCGCCTAGCATGTGTGAGGTACTGGGTTCGATCCTCAGCACCACATAAAAAAAAWAATAATAAAATTTTTTAAAAAATGAAGGCTATGGCAAATTTCCTTGACAATAACACTAAGTAATTTTATGCTTAAAAAAAAAAAAGTCCATGAAAATGTATCCCAAACTAAAGGAGACTTGTTTAGACATCTGTCAGCCACCTAAGTCCTTAGGTAACATTGGAATCACTTTAGCTCAAAGCCATTCTATCATTTTGTAAAGGCCTCAGAAGTTGAAAGCCTGTGAACCAAAGGATTTAACAGACACTTCCTCCTGGAAGGAAAACACAGGTGTGCCTTAGAAAAATCATCAAGTTAAGCTTCAAACATCACTCAGGGGCTATTGCTGTAGTCATAGTAAGCCCTTATTATCCACAGGCTCCACCTCCATGGATCAAAAATATTTGAAAAAGAAAACTGCATTTGTACTGAACAAGTATGGACTTTTTTCTTGATATTATTCCTTAAACAATAGAGTATWACAACTATTTTCATGGCATTTACATTATGTTACATATTACAAGTAATCGAAATATATGGGAGAACGTGCTTTGGTAATGTGCAAATACTGTATTATTTTATGTAAGGGATTTGGGAATCCAAGGATTTTAGTGTCCTAATGGGCCCTCATCGAGACTAAGGAATGACTATACTTATTGAAAGCAGAAGAGAGTTCCTATTATAAACAGGTTTCAGGAAACATGGTCTTCAACTCTGTCATCAGAGTAGCACAAATGGTCCATGTGTATACACCTGGGTGATGGCTTAGTCCTAAAATTCACAGGTGCAACACATGGATGCTCACCAGTCATCCTACAGATACACACATTCTGGCTCCCACTTTACACTTTAGACTGAAAGATGTCTCCCTACCTAAGGAAAAAATCAGAAGGGCATTCAAGTAATTACTCAGGTTATTCAAACAAACTAATTACAAATGTGTAAAACAGGTTATGGAGGAATCTCCCAACCAAAATACAAATGGTGCAGAAAAATACTTCACCCGTCATATTTCATATAGACTAAGTTATAATTAGATACCTGAGTTCTTCTCAGAGCAACAGCATTGTTGCTATCATAATTAAATCTGCCCATGAATAATAACAATAAAAGACAGATTACAAACATAACATGCTTGGTGAGATTTGTGATGTTCCTGTAAGTACTCCTGATGTTGAACGAAGAAAAAGAATATAAAGGAGAACCTACCTGGGGTTTCTTCATTTCTTCTTTGCAACTCAGTTTCAACCTGATCCAAGACCTTCTCCAACTCATCAAGAATTTTCTTCAAGTATTTGACATTGTCATGATCAAGCAGCTTTGACTAATTAATAACCAAAGAAAGAGACTAAATAGGTTATCTATGCCTACAAAAAGTATCCACATAGCAAAAATTAGATATAAATTCTTACAGAGTTGGAACCTGTTTATTTTAGATAATGGAAAAAAATATATAATAACTTTGTCAAAGCCAATGTGAAATTGCAGGGAAATACACCAGCTGTGGAAACATCGCAAGATTAGAACCACAGCCCACTGGTCAAATATGAGGCACATAGAGCCTCCTCTAGTCCACAGTGAAGAATCAGAGCAGCCTTGAGAGAATGAATGACCCAAAGGTTAGGAACAAAGCAGAAGTCTGAGTGCAGCAAGTGGACAGTAAGGGACAGCAGCTATGTGCACAGGCATTTCTCCTGAGGAGCTCGTTTAGCTAAGAGAGGATAAAGGAAGGTGGAAATGGAGGGACAGTTGGGAGTGCTGCTGCTGTTACATCTATACTGTGGGAGAGTCTTCCACGTGTTGATGGGTCATAGGGAAAGAATCAACAGAAAGCAAAAGGAACTGCTGCTCCTTGTCAGGGGGCAGAGCAAGCCAGTGTCACATGTGGAGGGACACAGGCCTAGAAATGGCTTATTGTGTTAATTTGCTGTTGCATTTTATAATCTTCCATGGCAGCTAGCATGTTCAGTATCTGCTTCCTATACAATCATCTCTTGGTTTAACTATCAAATGTAGTAATGAAAATTTTTTCTAAAAGAAAGCATAAGCTAYAGGTAATACACACTGGTGAACAGCAAGCTTTAATAGAAGAAGTTCTACAAATAGTTGAATGTCGACTGCAGACAGCCTGGTCACTCACTTTGAGCCGCTTCTGTTTGGCGATGTATGCCTCCTGTAAATCAGGGTTTTCTTCAGCAAGTTTCTTCAATTCGGACTCTGTGTTACCAATTTGGCCTGATAACAGAAGCATTTTTTAGATTAGAAAAGTATTCTCTCAATTCTCTCCTCTCCCTACCAGACACAGGGGGGGAGTGGGAAAACGCTATGGTAAAGGCATGAGCTCTAGGGCTGGTGCCCTGCCACTGCCTCAGACATGCCCTGTCTATGCCTCAGTCTCCTCACCTTTAGGATGAGCTAATGAGTACCTACCACACAGGCTAAGGACTGAGCAGCTCTCACAGGCATGTAGAGCAAGGCCTGGCACATTCCAGGGCTCCATGCACGGGAGTTGTTCTCCCTTCCTGCACTTCAAGTTTCCATATGAACTTCTTTGTGAAGAGGAAAAGCCTTATTTTTAAAATATTGTTCGCTATAGGTGATAGAATGGTAGTCAGAATGTGTGTTTCAAATCATATAATGAGTACTTATGAAGAGATAGAGTGGGGACAAGAAAAAGAGGGAAAGCAAGAAGAAAGGGAGAGGAGAAGAGGAAGGAAGTAGAGAGGGAAGAGAAGAGGTGTCAAAGGAGGAAAAATAATGTGCATAAAGCGGAACGATAAAGGCAAGGTATGATGTGGTGGGAAAACATGGCTTCTGCATCTAGAAGACCTGGACTTGATTGTTCCTAGTCAAACACCCTTAAATTAGACCATGGTCACCATCCCTGGGCCTCTGTCTCCAGTCACCTGCATTATAGAGCATACTTCCTTCAAAGGCTCTACCTCCTGTGCACTGACCCTCCTCTAGCCTCATGGCAGGACGAAGGGAGAGAGCTATATGTCACAACTCAACCTCAATAAGTCTCTACTCACTGAGAGGCAATGCCTAGACACCATCTAGTCCAGCTCCCTCACACCATGAGATGATAATTATAGACCAGACATGTAAACTTAGCTGTTCATAATCCAAGTAGATTCCAGATTTTCTGACTCCCAGTCTATCTGTTTTATAAGAACATGTGATGTTCTCTACTGTCACACAGGTCACTCTTACAAAGTTTTATCCAAGCTTGGCCCTCAAAGTCAAGAGCTGACAAATCAGGGTCCATGGACAAATAAACGTCCAGCTGCCTTGCAGAAGAGCAGATAAGCCTGACTCATTCTTGGATCAATTCAGAATATATGCACGCCTACAAAGCACACTCAATAACCCTATTCCCTCTCAATGACCATGCTATCACTCAAAAATGAATCAAAAGAAAACTTCAGTAGGGCACAGTGGCACACACCTATAATCCCAGCAGCTCAGGAGGCTGAGGCAGGAGGATCATGAGTTCAAAGCCAGCCTCAGCAACAGCAAGGTGCTAAGCAACTCAGTGAAACCCGGTCTCTAAATAAAATACAAAATAGGGCTGGGAATATGGCTCAGCAGTCGAGGGCCCCTGAGTTCAATCCCTGGTAGTCCCCACCAAAAAAAAATAAAGAAAGAGAAAATTTCATACTGAATTCCAGGTCTTTAAAATTTTTACATACTGCGAATCCTTGTGGTTGCATAAGCTGGGATCATGGAGTCCACGGTCAGCTCAGGGTGTAAAATGCAGCCATGTGTATAGGCATCCATTGGCAAGGAGTCCAGAAGCTCTCGGTAATGTTGCACTCGTGGATAATACATGCTTCCTTTATCAGGCATTAACCTGGGTGTTCTTTCTAAAATACAAAAACATAAACACAAGTATTGAAGAAAGAGTTACAAATGTTACATCCAAAAGCAAAAACCCTCATTCCTCATCATTAACATTTCAACATTATATAATTACATTTAAAAGATTATGTCCCCAGTCCAGTCTGTTCGAAATAGCCTGATGCACTAGACCAGATTCCAAACAACAATCACACTGACATCCTCTCACTTCTCCACTTTGCAAACTGCTGTTGAACCCTCAAAGTCCAGTTCTTTACACCACTTGCTCCATGCAGCATGCCCAACCTCCTGCATCTATCACTCATCAATTACCTCAGGTGTGCCTTCCTCTGCATACCCATAATACAGGCACATACTCGTATACAGAAATTATCACTCTGTAAATAGTTGTATCTTTTTGCATCATGAACATCTTCCTGAGAAGAAACACATTTTAGGCCCTCCACAAGTGAAGGAATACTCACTATGGGAAAATAATCAACCAACACTAGGAGTGACCCTACTAATACTATATAAATATGAAATGACAAACTGAATGAAACAACAAAAGCCTTTGCTCATATATCACAGCTGCACTTTCCCTAGGAACATCTATTATCTGGAAAGTGTGTTCCACTTGAATCTTCACTTGAGGGCAGGTTAAAATCTAGACTGCAGACTCTTTGCAGGCAGAAATCATATATTGTTCTCTGCTAAATTCCTAGTGCCTAATATAATGTCTGATACAGTAGGTGCTCACTGACTTATAATTAATACTTTCCCAACTTCAGTTATTTTAGAATATTGGAGTTGAAGAAAGAAGCTCTGAAGTAGTTAGTGAAGACAGACAGTGAGATATGGAGACTGAGAAGTTCTCCTAGGATCTCACAGCTATTTAGAAGCAGAACAAGAACTGAAGGCATCTGGTTCCAGTGAGATGTAATGCTCTATTTTATGATATTATTATAATATCTTCAAAGGATTTAGAGACTATCCAGAAAGAATAATAGTGAAGACTGTGACCCAAATGTCAGGAATATGTCCCCTTAGAATTATTTCTCACAGTTTCTTAAACATCCCTGAAAAACTACCAACCAACTTATTCTGCCTAATGAAAGAAACAGCCTCAATATTCTTTATATATTGATTTCTTAGTTTGCATTACCTATTTAATTTAGAATCCTTCTGAGAATCTCATACTCATTCATAAATGTCAATGATTCATAGTTGGTTGCCATCAACAGAGCATTTCAGGCAAGATCTCCTAATGTCTGACCAAGCAGAATAAGCTTTTTAAACTAGCAGGCTATTTCTGACTCTAAGGAAAAAAAAAATAAGAAGATGGATTACTCTTCAAACCAGCAGACAAATGTCTAATTCCCTGCTGGAGAGTCCAACACTAAAGGCTGCATTAGAATAACCAAGAATGAAGTATCAGCTACATTCTGCTCCTCCAAAAGATTACCACACCAGAACATACTGCAATACTGACCCCACATGGAAAAAGGGCAGGTAAGTCACCTATGCCACAGTCAGGCTCTCAATGCAAAGGATCTTACAATTAGCTCCTTGGGTTGACTTCTCAGGACCTCTACAGTGAACGTGCAATGCACCAGGACCCAACTAACGCATGGTAGTCATTTCCATGCAGACCACAGATCCCAGGCCTTGAATTCTTAAGGAATTTTTAGCCTCTCATTTACCACCAAACTCTTCTCAAAATACTAATGTTCTTAAATGCATAAAATACAAGACATGGGATTGCAAAAGAAATTATATTGAAAATAACTTTAAATAATACTAATATGCATGCCTCTTTAACACATGAATAAGATTTAGCAGCAGGTCTAATAACTACCCTAGTTAAAAAATATTAAGATATCTATAATAATTTAATATACCATTAATGGATCTGATTTTCATTGGTAACAAAGTCATAAGCATTCCTGATATTGTTATGGATTATACCATTATTATATGGTAATGAAAGGAAATAATAGGTTCCTGTTAGAAATTAGTAAAAATAAAGAAATTTTTTTCCCAAATATTTCAGCTCTCCTAAATTCTATTCCTAAATCCTTAAGGACAACATTTTCAACATATAGACTAAGGATCCTTACAATTATTTGTTTCCCCCAAGACACCTTGCGGGGAATCCACAAAATCAAAGCTACTTTTTAATAACAACACACTAAGATGTTGTTTGTTTTTTCACTCTTGCTGTTTCTTAAGCATAGGGCAGAAATTTCCAGAGGCCACAGGAAAGGTGATTACTACATCATTTTGACAACTAGCAGGATGTGTGATTGAACATTTTAAAATTTTCTCAGTTTAAATTTCTAAATATAAGTATTGATAGAAATGATTCACATAAACAAAACTCTTAGGCATCCTCAATTATTTGTAAGACAAAGGGATCATGAGACCAAAAAAGTTTTAGAACCACTGCTTTAGGGAAATCAAAGATCCTCATGTTAATAACCATAAACAGCACAACATTTTCAAATGCTTCCCAAATGTCAAATTGATGACTGCTGGCTCTGGCTGCCTCTGGTGCCAGGCCCTGAAGCATTCTCCAGAGCAGCATTCTACTTCCTTCCCAGGAAAATAAACGAGAGAAGGAAAAACAACGTCTAATTGCTTCCTGGGTTAGTTCCATCTGCCAAACCTGAATTCTTCATAGGAGAACAAATGCTTAAATTCATGAAAATAAATTTCTTCTTCTCCTGCCTTTGCCATCGACTATCTCCTAAAGTACTCCACCAGACACAGCATAAGATGCCCACTGCATCCATACTTTCTACCCATCTCCCTTTTCTCCCCACATGCTTCAAGGATGTCCTATCCAACATCACACAGGCAACCTCTTCACCCCAGGGCACTGCAGCATCCACTGCCTCTGGCAACAATTTTTCAAAAGACAGTTGGGAATTTCCTTTGAATTGTACAAGATATCTTCCCTCCCAATCCCATTCTATTTTAGTTTCCAACTCTTTCATTAAGCATCTTGGTTATATACAATACACAGAGGAAGGGCAGGGAATCAGGGGAGTTTTCAGAAGCAAGTGATGAGAGGAGGTTCCAGTATTGGGGAGCGAGGTTGCACAGTAAGCGAGCGAGGTTGCACAGTAAGAGCCAGGCTTGGTGACTGCAAGAATAAATCAAGGTAGGGGTGTAAGCTCAGTTGCAGGATATGTGCTCAGCATGCACAAGGCCCTGGGTTCAATATYCAGGACCACTACCAACAACAAAGAGAATAAATAGATAAATTTACAGGTATTGCACCTAAAGGAGGTGGCAAATTAGAAAGATGCCAATAGAGATAAAGCAGAGTTCCTATAGCAGAAAGAAAGATGTGATAACAGCAAGAGAAACCAAAAGAGGAGGGGGGGAGGCAAAAACAACAATAGAAGCATTCTGCAGCCATTTAGTGGAAACAAATGGCCTGTATGTAAGCCCCTGTGTTGCTGAGTAGAATAACAATAACAATAATAGCTCTAGGCTATTTAAACAAAAAACAAAAATACAATGGGTTTTCTCAAGGGCAAAAATGAAAAGAGTTAGGAGTTTAAAAGTGTAAGTTTCCATTATTCTACTAAATTAACTGCTCTGGTTTCCTAACATCTCTAGTGACAGTGGATAAAGCCATTATTATGTCTTGTTTTCAAGGAAGACACACTCCTCAGGTCTATTTTAGTAACTTCCCTATCTTCCTTATTAGATTAATGAAAACACATTAAAATTCAAATCTAATTCTATTGCTTTTTTTATTGCATAGTGGGGGCATGAGTATATACATAAGTAACTGAACAATAATGTACCCTTAAATTAGGCAGCCATCAAGCTATTTAAAAATGTAATAACGGTAAACAAGTCATGACCTGAAGCAAAAGATATGGTTACAAGCGGACTAAAGACTCTCATCACTTTGGTACTAGAAAGATTAAATCTAAACACAAAAAAGAAAAAAAACACTTGGTGTCAAATTATGTGAACTCACGATATGCCTCCAGGGTTTTCTGAGACAAAGACAAATCTAGCATTTATTTTTCAAAATAATTTATRCATTATATAGTAAATGTTCACCTATTTAAGACTTTTAACAGAAACATTTGCAATGAGAGGGACAAATATTACTTGTGCCAACTGTTGGATACACTTACAGAACTATGGCCTCTGCACTTCAAAATCCCTGTCTGCCTGCTAAAATTGGACAAATCACAAAGTAAAACAATAACTTCTTTTCAAGCAACTTTTATTGACATAATCATTAATCTTAAAGACTCATTTTCTGTTCCTTACCATTTTCTCCAGTTTGTGTTAATATGAAGCTTTCAGTAGATGTGCTAAAAGGTATATGAAGTTATTCAATTATTTAATTATATATGAGCATTATATACGAAAACCATTCATTGATAAGCATAAAATCATTTTATAAACCTTAACAACTGGCCTTAAATATTTTAATGTAACAATTACTTCAAAATTAATGTTTTTTAAAATGTTATGCTTTAATTTTAATATATACTGTATTTATAAAATAAATTTATATTTCCTGGTCAGATTTATATGTTATTCTAATATCAGACCAGGATAGTTGATTATTTCCAAAGCAAATTCAATTTCTAAACACTTTAAATGATATAAGGCACAGGATATAATTTTCAAATTATAACATATTAAATTACCAAAACTCAATATTCATCATATATCATTGATTCTAGCTTACCATTCAGTTATTTGGCATAATAAATATCAGATGTTCTAATATTTTAGAGTAACTTCATACTCGTTTTTTAATTCTAGTAGCCAAATTAAATTTTATTTGAAGAAATTTTGAATAGGAAATAAATAGCCGGATTTTAAAATTCATATTAGTGTGTCCTTGTCATATCCTGTTCCTGAGTTTGCCTAATTTGCTTAYTGTCATACCTCATCTAACTTAATCAATGGCTTGCTTTAATAGAATTATTCATTACACACCTGCACTGAAGAAGATATCAAGTACATGAAAAACTGAATAGTAATAATAGCATATGCATATATTAAAAACAAATTAGAAACTTTTATTGAACTTATAGGAAAAAAATATTTGAAGATTAATAAGCTTCCAATGATTTGGGATCTCTGAAGTATGCTGGGACCTTGCACCCAATTAATACCCAATAAATGGCTACTGAAAGAATGAATGAAAGGGGAGCACTAGGCCAGCTCTTAATTGGGTYTGTCTAAATTCCTCCTTTGGCCCAAGTCTTGCCTGGACAATATCAGTCATGTCTACATCCTTCCTCCATGTGTATGCTTTCCAAAAACAAAAMAAAAATAAAATAAAATAATCAAACATAGCCATTAACCAATTTATATATGCATGATTTTAGGCTAAGACTTGAAAAGGATTACCTTGACTCTCATATTTCTCCCCTAAAACTATCCATTATTTAATGAATCATCACAAAAACACAAGGATATAGACATGAATAGTGGTACACAAAAAGGTCAAGCAAATCCTCATTTTTAGTATAGACCCCAGTTGACAGAATAAAAAAGGAGAGCAAAGGACAACAGGGATACTGGTCCATTATATGCTGTTGTTCTTTAGAAGAAYGGCCACACCAGCTTCTCCTCATCACACCTCTTGAACCACCTCCGCTTATTATCATTCTGACATGTCAGCATTCCTCAAAAATCCTATCCATACCTACACAAAATGCCAAATGTTCTGACCAACTTTGAATGCAGAGGATTACCACCTGTACAGTCCAGATAGAACCTGAGATAACACTAGCCTTTTGGTTTCATTATCCTTCCTTAAGTCAGCTGATTTTTAAAAACAAAATTCATATATTACATTAACCTCATTAAAGTTTATCTGAGCTTTTTTTTAATTCTTATTCCATCAGAAACATTTCTTAAGATGGTCATCATTTTAACCATTTTAGATTTTCTGTCATTCACATATGTAATAGAATGTCTTCTATGTCTTTATTCAACTCATTTATACGATCTTCAGGTTCAAGTCAGAGAATTGAAGACTATAGAATACTAGGGTTGGGGGTTGAGACTCAGTGGTATAGAGGTTACCAGGATGCACAAGACTCTGGATTAAATCCCCAGCACAGCTAAAATGAAAAGAATGCCCTAGAGATCCCCAACCAGGCTGACACCTATTTCAATAATTCACACTCATTTTAATCATTCAAAAGCATTTTAAAGCACCTATTAAAAAGCATTCATTTGTGCAAGGCATTGGGAATACAGTTTTTAATAAGAYAGGCATTGTCTCTGACCTCATGGTGCTTACAGTACTCTATAAGTCATTCACATATTTAAAATAAAGCATGATAAAAATAATCATAAGTAAAATAAGAGTCCATAGCTAGAAGGGCAACCTGGTGTAAGAAATCTATAAATGAATATCCGTCAACRTGCTAATTTATTCATCTACAAATGGTGCATTACTATCAGCTAGCTATATTTGTCTCTTTATCCCACAAGGGTATTGTATAAAGTGATCTGAAATGCTCTACTTACATCAAGATACAATGTATCTACAACCATGGCTGGTACATAATAGAYACCTTTTTAAAATATGTTTGTCACATTCTCAAGCCATGTTGAGACTTAAACTAGTTTCTTCTACTGAAAGACCCAAAACTTTTAAAACTATATTTTAAAAACCCTTGGCAATTTTATCAGTTGCAGAGATACAACAGATCCAACCAACTCTTATTTCACTCGTTTCTCTTTCCCAGGAGAGTAGTTATTTAATTGGAAAGGAGGGGAAAAAAAAACATTGGCAGTCCATTCTAGAATTCTGCCAGACTTCAAGTCAGTAATTTACAGCAGTGCTTAAAGCTTCAACACAGTAATTTATAGCATTATTCTCAAACTTTAATGTACATATAAATCATGCAGGGTTCTTGTTAAAACAAAGGTTCTAATTCTGTAGATCTGCTGTGAGATTTACAGTGCTGCATTCTAACAAGCTCTTGGGTGATGTCAGTGCTGCTGGTGGATACAACACAGTTTAAATGTCAGGATCATAGGATTCCACTCTCTCCTTTCTTTTAAYTGCTGGGATTACGTTTATCACTTGTCTGGCTCTTTTCCTATTTCCCCATGAGTTCTTAAAGATAAAAATTAAGTATCTTAATTACAATAGTGATAACACTGATGTGTGTTTTGTTTTTTTTTAATTCCAATACTCTGAGGTAAATTTCATCTTGACCTTTCAACTGGATTAGGCTTGATTTATATGACTATTGCTCTCTTTTTGTCTTTCTATCTACCATAAATTATAGATCCCTTAATCTTTTTTTTTTTAATCCTTTCCAATTGGATACTTACCCTCCTGGGAAAGAGGMAAGAGTGAAATAAGAGTTCATTGGACTTGCTTTATCTCTACAACTGATAAACCTGAATCACCTAATCTAAAAGGCAAATAGAGAAATTTAATCACTAAAGGTATTCAGCAACTTAGTAGGTGCATCAGACTAAAAGCTGGAACTCTTGGTTTCATTCTTATAAAAGCTCAACCAGAACAAAGACTGCAATTCTATATTTCCATTCTATCATGTAGTTCAGAGTAACCTCCCCTCTATTTCAATAAGCAATCATAAAAAAACAGTATTTCCCTGGGTTAATTATCTAAATATAACTTAGCAAGACCCAGAATGCATTTCATTTTTGTCATTATTATATGGTAAGAGCAAAAGAGAAAGCCTAAGGAAAATTTTAAGGAAACCTAATATCAGTAACATTACTATGTCATAAAATATCATTGCAGAATTTCTCAGGAGGAAAAACAGTATAAGAAGGAGAAAAAGAAGGTGCAAGAGATGTGTAATATGACAGTAGTAGTATTAGTTCATCAACGCTACCAAAAAGATTTAAATATGAGTTTCCACTTAAAAATTTTTATCATATAAAATAGAATTCTTACACATTTTTTGTTCATTAGCATAATCATTTCTCCCAAGAAATACAAATTATAAACAGACTTATCCATTTCCAAAAAGCTTAAGGTTGAGAAAAATTGTCAAATCAGTCACTATTTTCAGTATGATTCCCAGCATATAAGCAACAACAAATAATAGTGAAGAATAAGTAGTTCATGAAAACATTTGATTTAGGCCAAGGTCACCTTTAATCGTCCAATCAGAATCCAGAATCTAAGAAATTTTAATAGTGGTATTCCCTTAGCGAGTGTATATGTGTATATGTATATGTATGTGCGCACATGCGTGCGTGCGCGGCACACACACACACACAAATAAGAATAGGGATTGCTCATCTAAGTTCTTGGGCTTTCCCATCCTCCTAATTTAGGTCTCATACCCATTTTCCTTCTGGATACCTCAGATAATTCTTGGTCTGGTAATTTCCTTCCTCAGTTGCTTCTAATTCGGGTTTACGTGCTGGTTTCATCCTATGAAATTAAACATTAGCATAACTAGTAGTAGATGAAAAGTAACTGGATCTCAGTTCTCTTAGAAGAAAACTCAGCTGAAAATTAGGAGCCCCATGCCCTGCCCTCAGCTCCACCAGCGATCAGCAGTGTAATCTTGGGCAAATCACTGAAGCCACAGTTCACCTAAAAGGGTTGTCATTAGGAATAAGTGAGAACACGTAAGTGGCAAAGACTACGGAAACAGCCCATTTGGTATGAAGGCGATAGCGGCCAAAGACCCTGCTATAAAATGGCCACATTGCCTTGAGTAGCTCTCTGTTCCTCTTTCTTCATGTACAAAATGGTAATAATTAGTCTATCTTGCCTGTCTCAGACAGGTTCATTTGATGACAAATAGAAACTATAAAATGTTTGATATATAAGCTATTAAATGACTATTACTAACAAACACTATACAAATTTAAGCTCTATTCTGTTTTTTTTTAAAAAAAAAAGATTTTAAAAATTCCAACTATACAGAAGTACTAGGACATAGAAATCGAAGTACACTAATGTTCTATTCTACTTTTTCTGAGGTTTATTCCTCTTTTTCCTCTTAAGATGAAACCACTTGATAGATTGAATTGGTTTTCACAGTGTATATTTAGAATCAGTATTCTGAATTTGACTCTAAGGCAATTAAATCACAACCACAAGCCACAACACCTGCAGGGTTTTCTGCAAATAGATTTAAAAGAAAAAATTTGACATTAACATTTGTACTTTAAATGAAATTCTTTTAAACAGAGTTTATGCATACTGGTTTATGCAAAATTTGTTATTGACCTATATTATATTCGTGTGCTTATGGAAATGGAAAAGGTTTTTAATAACTAATCCACCATAATAAAATGAGAAAGGGGAGAGAGAGGGGGAGAGGGAGGRGAGAGGGACGGGGGAGAGAAAGAAGGTGCACATTTGTGTTGAGAGTAAATCCAAGAAATCACAAATAGCCTTAACATTACCATCCAGGAAAGTCTGTTCAAGATAATCAATGATCTGAGTGGCCTCACAAATTATGTTTTCCCCGTGGATAAGGACAGGCACTTCTCCAGTTGAGTTCAAACGCATAAACCAAGGCTCATTGTGCTCACTCAGGGGCAGACTTACATCATGTTCCTCGCACTTCAATGCCTTTTCAGCAATTACCAAACGCACCTGGAAGAGTTCACAAGGGTTACTGCAAGTGCAGATAAGCTTTCCGTTAAATGACTTCCTGGATACTACTAAGCAGCCTTGCTGGGCTTCCAGAGATATTAACATTTTAAACGTTCTTTATAATGATAACTATTCATAGAACGAATAAGTGAGATGTATTCCAGGGTCCTACTCTTAAAAAAAAAAAATAGAGAAGACAAAGTACTGAAAATGATTCTGTCTGTATTGATTGTAGTCACCTTTCCCATCACCACCACTTTATGTCCTAAACCTCACTATGAGTCCTTCCCCGGCAAGAGGTTGAAGTACAGGTATCCTGGGCCTTGATGGAGAGAGTGAATTTTAGGAAGAGTGAAGAAGGGAGGGTTAAAAAAGAATGTAGATTATTAAGCGGTTGAATTAAGGCGCCTCCGTCTGCCAGACTCCACAGGGCCCGGCGCGCAAGATCCAGAGAGGCCTTTCAGATTCTGAAAGTGATGCTTTCTCATTGCATGTCACGACTGGCAGTGTTGGGTCACTCCCTTTCCATCCCAGACGGATTCTCCCGCCTTTTCCCAAAGCTCACCCCAGCCCCGGAGCGCGTGCCCGCCGGGTTAGGACTCCGGAGGCGGGTTTCTGGGTAGGCCGGCGTGGCCCGGCGACACCCAGCGGGAGCTGTCCCGGTGCTGAAACCCGATCCGCGCGGCCCCTGGCAGCCGAGGCCTGTACCTTTTGAGAGCTGAAGGAATGCGTCCAGTGGTACAGAATGAGCTTAACCTCCGCGTCGGACTTGCCTTCCGCCATCAAGGGCGCTCCCGCCCTCTGCTCGTCCTGCCTCCGAGCCATTGCGGAGTGCTGGAGCGCAGGGAGCCTCGCCCSTCCGCCCTGCGCTTCTCCCACCCACGCCGCCTGGCGGAGCTTCTCTAGGTTTGCCCCGACGCCTGATGGGGGGACGATGAAGAGACCTCTGGGAAGTGTAGTTTTCACCCGCGAGAAGCTGCGGGGCCGAGGCCGCAGAGAAGMAGAGCTCTGCGCGCGCACGAGAGCCTGGAGCGCGGCAGTCAGCTGGGAGGCGCACCTGGGAGTATTTTAGGTTAAAAAAAAAAAATCTAAAATATGAGTCCCTGCTTATTACGGTGAGTAAGGGAAAGATGGAGATAGCAAATTACTCATTGGCTTTGGAGGTTGTTTGGGTAGAAGGGAGCAGTTTCCCAAGATACTTAGGGCTCTTTGGTGAAAAGGAAGTTCCGGTGACAGATTAATCAGGACCAATGAGTTTTCACTAGAAGATGCTCTCATGAAAAAGGAAAAAAAAATAAAAATAAACAATAGCGATGTAAAACAGACTAGTTGTTAAACACAAAATTTTACAGCAGAACTACCTGGACTTATGTCCTAGTTTTTTTCTTCTTCCCCATTTTTGAAGTGGAGGTAATTTTTATTTTGCTCATAAGATTTTTGCAAGAACTTAATACATAAATAAAATGTTTAAACACTCAGCTGGCACGTTGTAGACACGTAATATTATTCACAAGCTCAGACTTATAAAAGTATCTTTATAGTCATAGGCAGAATCATGCTTTCATACTAATTACCATTGTATACCTCTTAAGATTTGGCATCATAGTAAACTGATAACATTTTTAGTAAATACATATAAATAGGATCATGAAATAAATCCCTGTGTAATTTGTGCAGCAAACATTGAGTACCTACTATTTTCCAGGTATTTTACTAGATCCGGGGAATACAAAGTTGTGTGTGACCTGAAACCTGGCACCCAAAATATAATTCTGGTGGCAGAGACAACAAATAGATAAGCACAATAAAGATTAAAACTGTCTTAGGGCAAGCACAAGATACTGTGAGAAAGGAAGGGATGGTGCCCAGCCCAGATAGGAAGGGCCACTAGGAGACACAAAAATCTCCTGAGGTTCTTCCAAAGAGTGCAATAAAGACAGCACTTCATTTGTTCCCTGCAATTTTTACAATTTTAAAAGATTTTGTACTGTCTTCATATATTCTTATATTAGTTTAAATGCTTAAGCAAAAGGGATCTTGCAGAATTTGTTTTTTAATCAGGTCACTGCCCCCACCTCACCCCAGGCCTAGTATTGAGTCCAGGTCCCCAAGCATGCCAAGCAAGTGCTCTACCATTGAGCTCCACCCTCAGTTTGCTTTAAAGTAGAAGGGGAATGAACAAACTTTGAAATTAGACAGAATAGATCTTARAGTCAGCTGTCACTCTGCTGTCTCTTCAGCTTTTACTTCATCACATATAAAATATGTATGTGTAAAAATATGTGCCAACCCAGAATGCCATGGGAATTGGAGGAGAGAATTGTACCAAGAAAAAAAGCACCAAGACACTGCCCGGAATGTAGCAGTTGATGGAAAGGTGCCTAAGAGCCCTTCCACTGACAGGAAAAGACATCATACTACACTGAATCCTCTCTTTTTAGGCCTCACAATTCTTACAACTACAGTATCTATATAATCCTCCCATTCTTCAGAAGAAGAACTGTATTTTTAATTTCCCAACCCCAGATTCTGCAATATATTATATAGTTCCTTTTTCCTTGATTTTGCCAAATCACCTCAATATTTGAATAAATGCAACACTCATGTTGAGCCATCTAATGCTTGCAGCTGAAAGAGGCCTGACAACAAAACCCTGGTTCATCAAACACTAAGAACTTCCTTCTCCATTACATCTTCTCAGTAGCAAAACCATATAGTGGGCATTGAATGAGCCGCCTGATTGCTCTGTCGGTGTTTAGTACCAAGTATTCATATTCATTGGCAATGTAAACATGTGAAGGGCCTCTGAAGGGAAATTTATCAATATGCATCAAAAATCTTCAAAATGGACATAACTTATGTCAATTCCTGTATTTTCAGTTTAAGGAAAAACTAACAAAATCTCCAGTTGGCCCTAAAAACATCTATTTTCCACTTCTTCTTTGGTAATAGAAATTTTAGCAAAGCACGTGGCTGCTGAGAATAAAAACTGCATTTCCCAGGCTACACTGCAGCTAAATGTGGCCCTATGACTGTATTCAAACAAAAGGGCATGGATGTGCCACACACATGTTCTAAGAATCATCCTCACAGAGGCAGCCAGATGTTTGCCTCCTCATCCCCATCTCCATCCTGCCCCCAGGAAAGTGGACACTGACTTAGATGAGGAGGAAGGAGGCCACACACTAGGAATGGCTAAGTCATGAGCTGGGAGGGAAATAACCTATGAAGACACTGGGGAGCAGAACTACCATAACCACCTCCATCTCCAAAGCTCCATACTTAAAAATATATATATATATATAAGCCATCTGGATTAAGGCAGTGTTTTAGTGAGCTTTCCCATTGCTACAAAAAAAAAAAGACCTGAAAAGAACAATTTTAGAAGAGGAAGAGTTCATTTGATGCATAGTTTCAGAATTCTCAGTTCATAGAAGGCTGGCTCCATTCCTTTGAGCTCAAGGTGAGGCAGAACATCATGGTGGAAGAGTGTGGTGTGTGGTGGAGGAAAGCAGCTCAGGGAATGACAATCAGGAAGCAGAGTGTTTTAGTCAGCACTTTCGCTGCTGTGACTAAAAGGTCCAAACCAGAACAACTGTAGAGGAGGAAAGATTTATTTAGGGGCTCACAGTTTCAGAGGTCTCAATCCATAGACAACAGGCTCCATTTCTCAGGACTCTTGGTGACGCAAGACATCATGATGGAAGAGTATGGCAGAGGGAAGCAGCTCACATGATGATCAGAAAGCTAAGAAAGGTCTCAACTTGCTAGATAGAAATATATACCCCAAAGCCATGCCCCCAATTCCCACCTCCTCCAGCCACACCCTATCACTTCAGTTACCACTAAGTTAATCCCCATCWGAGGGTTAATTCACTGATTGGGTTAAGACTCTCACAACCCAAACGTTTCTCCTCTGAACCTTCTTGCATTGTCTCAGACGTGAGCTTTTGGGGGACACCTTACATCCAAACCATAACAACAAAGTTCAGCATTGCTCACCAGAGACAAAATATAAACTCCAAAGGCATGCCCCCCAATGACCTACCACTCAGCCACACCCTATCTGCCTACAGATACCACCCAGTTAATCCTTATCAGTGGATTAATGCACTGATTAAGTTAAGGTTCTCATAACAACCCAATCATTTCACCTCCAAACTTTCTTGCATTGTCTCACACATGCACTTTTGGGGGACAACACATATCTAAACCATAATAGGCAGTGTTATTTGGGGTTTTCCAGATGCTTATGTCTTAACTTCTTCTCACTAATATATCAACTTTGTGAAATACAAGTGGTTTCTATTTCTTTATGCTTCTGTAGATTCTAATTTTTCTATAATTGGATATGTATTGTTTTTACCTCTTAAAGATGTGAACACTAAAAGAATATCATTTCCTTTTATTTTTGTATCCCAGTAAAAACCACTGGTAGGTAATACAAAAATCATATTATCTATTCAGGTGTTAGTTCAGAGCTTCTATTAAATTGTCTTTATATTCTGTACTATGTCTTTGTATGTCCTAGCATTATTGTGGGCTCCCAGAGGATAGAAGCCAGATTCAGGAAAATTAATGTTTCAGTATACATTTAGTGAACACCACATGTTCCAGGCATAGTACTGGATGCAGAAGACATGGAGTTAAAACTCACGGTCACTGGCCCTATGTGGAAGGAGAAAAATAACATTTAAATGTAGTGTTGTAATAGCTTAAATATTTAAATTATGAGAGCAAAGGACCTAACACGGAGAGGCTTCCCAGAAGAGGCAATAATCTTTACCACAACTAGTATTATATTAAGGGGGCTGTGGCTGTAGCTCAGTGGTAGAGCACCTGCCTCACACCTGTGAGGCACTGGGTTTGATCCTCAGCACCAAATAAAATAAAGGCATTCTGTCCACCTACAACTACAAAAAAATTTTTTTAAATGGCTTTGAGGGTATCCCTGTGAAAGTATGATATTAGGACAGTTGCCAATATACCCAGTGTTGTGCTGCCATTAGCTCATGATAGCTAAATGTTAAATTTTCAGGAATTTTGCAAGCTGATTTTCAATCCAGCCATTACTAAAAATTAATCAAATTGATTTTTTTACTTAATAAATTATTTTTAAAGAAATACTCAAAATTCATCACTCCCTAATTATCTTATTATCTATGCTCTTGAGTTTATTTATGTATTATATCTACATGATGAAAATAGTATATAAGGGTATGCTATTGTGCATCTCTTCCTAACTCTTTGTTCAATGATACTATGTTAGTAGTTTGAAATTTGCCATAGTAGTATTTATAGTACAGAGATCCGTACATGGTATGTTTCTTTTTCCCCAGAGAATTGGTTGTTAAACATTTACTGACATACCTTGGAATGTATCTCTTATTCAGTATTTAATAAATTGTTTTTTATGATGATAGCCAGGAAAATCCTGATTAAATCTGTGAATGAGGGGCTGGGGTTGTGGCTCAGCAATAGAGCACTTGCCTAGCACGGGCAAGACCCTGGGTTCCATCCTCAGCACTGCATAAAAATTAATTAATTAATTAATTAAAGATATTGTGTCCAACTACAACTAAAAAATAAATACTAAAAAAATCTGTGAATGAGTACATTTGTATACTAATCTGCTTTTATCACTTCTTCCTGTCCCAACCAACTTTAGTTCTATTTCCTTCTCCATTTCTCAGACACCCACTGTCTTAGGTACCTTTCATTATTTTCACTGTGCTTAGGAAGAAAGTAGATATGCACACAGCAATCTGTCCACTATGGAACACTGAGCACTTTCTCTAGCACATCTTCCCAGTAGAAATTTTAAAACCATGAAGTAGATACTGCATTAATACTTTATAAACAA